AGGCAAAAGACGACAAACAGGAGAAGCATACTTTCTCTGGTCTTTAAAAACAACGACAGGTCGATTTCATCTGTCAGTCAAAATCATAAATGCAATCAGCTGTAAACCATTTTAGAGTTGAAAACAGTTTCAACAAAAACCTCATGTTTATTTATTAGGAATGAATTAGGCAGGATATGAGTACTGTGTGTCTAATTCAAACTCAATAAATAAACAAAAATGTTAAATAATAAAGAAATGCTACATCTTTTTTCAGTACTGTTATAATGTCAGTCTTGATGACACTGTTTGCTCGTCAATGCGGTGATCTTTACGAAGTGAGAGTTTGACTCGGACTTTCTGTATTTAAGCCCCTCAGGGGGCACGTCCTCATTAGTGCCACTAAACTTTATCACACTTCATGCTTTAATTACATTCCTCATGAATTATTCCTCTGTGTTTCAGCACCATGATCTAAATATAAATGCAGGTCGAGTCCGGAAGAGGAGCAGGGATAAACATGAATTAAAATCATAAGAGGACAGGGAGTGTCGGTGGGCTTGTTTGTGGATGTGGGCAGAGGGTTTCTAATGGGAATGTGCTGTTTGGTGGGCAACGGCCGTGTAAATGTTTAATGAGGATTCTGGTTCTGGAGCATTTCCTGTACTCTAGCTACCATGATGCTTCGGCTCTGACTTTTTCGGGAGGCACACGGATCTACGGCATAGGGAGGAGAAACTCATGTTTAGTCCTCGAATATAACATGGAAGATGCATAGAGCATATCAAATAGTACGTATGAACAAAAACAAACAAACCAAAAATATATTTAATATCTATATATCTGTGCCAACATACTGTACTTTACACATTTGACACATTTTTGGTTAATATAATCTGACTTCTTTTTGTGCAGTAAATATATTACTTAAAGTAAATATATTAGGTGAAAGAGGTTCGGCTTACAAAAAAGTTCCCTTGGAATCCCTGCATTACACGTTGTCAGGATTCTGGACTGTCTGTGTCGTGTTTTGTCCCTGTTTCTGTACCTGTTTGTCCTTATTTGGTCATGTTCCTGTCCTGGTTTAGTTTGATTATTAGTTGATTCCCCGCACCTGTCTATCCCTC